CAAGCCCAAGCGCTCGCGCCCGCGCTCCGCCCACCACACCCGCGCATCGCGCGCCGACCTCCGCTCGCACCCGCACGTCCGCAAGTCCCCGCACCGCCAGCAGCAATGCTTCCTGCCGCAGGAGGCCCTCCAAATCGACCCCAAGCCCGCCGCAACCCTCGCCGTCGCCCCGCCCCGCCCCGTCCCGCCCCGCCCGCAAAACCACCTGCCGCCGCCCGACCTGCTCCCCTCCGCCGCCGCGCCCATCCTCGTCCCTGACTCGTCGGACGAGGAGGAGATCCGAATTTCCCTCGCAAAGCGCGACTCCACTCGCGACCGCCCCCAGCTCGTCGCCGCCTCCTCCGCCCCGCACTCTGCGCCCCGCCCTGAACCCCCGCTCCCGCGCCCGCCGAAGGAGCGCAGCCCCAAGTCCACACGCGTGTCGAAGACCGTCTCGCCGCCCGTCAAACGCCTCTCGGATAGGGCCTCGCCGAGAACCCGCGACAACAAACCCCGCCCTGCGAAGCCTTGCGATGACATCGTCGACGTCGATATCGTCCCCTTCCGCCCGAGCCACGCCCCCGTGGTCGCGCGCTCGCCGCAACTTGGTGGGAACGCGCCTACGCCCGACCCACTCGCTACCGCTAAGTCTGTCGGGGAAGGTGACGATGCGTCCTGGTTGTCGGACATCCCCCCCGCAGAGCGCCCTCTGCCCGACCAGGTCGAAGGCAAAGGCAACAATTCGAAAAAACGAAGAGCTTCGAAAACCCCGAGATCGAATCATGTCGATGTTCCGACGGCCTCAAAATCGCAACGCACGGAAAAGCCTGTCACATCTGACTCGCAGGGTGAATCTATTGAGAGCATCAAGCCTCAAGGTTATATCCCTAATCGACCAACACGCTCCAAGCCTTTCTCGCCGGTAGCAAAACGAAAAAACGTTCAATCACCATCAAACCCAGCACGTGCACCACAGAAGAGAAGCGTTGAAGGTCCTCAAACTCACAAAGACGCAAGCCCAAAAACCTCGAAGCGAAAAATGCCACGCGGTTCTGGCAGGTCGCCCGGCGCTGCGAGAGACAGCTGTATTTCTGGATCGTTGTCCTCAGTTGCCCCTCGGAGGTCCTCAAGTCGAAGCAACGACGCTGTTACGCATGAGGCATCGAAACCTGGCCCAGGGCCTTGTCTGCGCACTTCCCCCAGAAGGAAGGAGAGAAATGTCGAATCTCCTGGAAAGGTATCTTCCGCGCAGACAGAATATCTTGAAGACAAGAAAGAAAAGGCATCCCAGGTACCGACTCACAAACCACCGGGCTTGGCCAGTGCCGAGGCCAAGCCAGTAGCAGTGGAAAGAGGTCCTGCACCGATGTCCGCCGTGTTCTTGAAAGGATTCCGACGGACGTCCGGGAAGTCAGACTCACCACTGCGTGAGAAATTCGCCGCACCTACTCATACCTCCACGAAGACGACCCCCTTACCATTCTCAAAGGTATCGGCCGAGCGTGTCTCTCCCAATCGTAAAAAGCGATTGTTCTCACCCATGCCGATTGGTTTGCGTCATCGCAAGGATGTATCAAGTCGTATGCCTGCGTTCCAGCCAACGAGAACTTCTTTAGTCAAACAAAGATTGTCCGCAAAAATGCTACAAATGGACAGTGGTTTTTGCTTACCCACGGATGAAGAGACTGTCACCGAGAAGAAAAATGTCGTTTCCATAACGAATGCAGGAAAGCCCATGCCCAAAGGGTTTGTTAATGAAAAACAACAGCAAGTGCGAGGTTGTTTAAGACATCGCACCCAAAAGCCGGTGAGCTCAGATGCAAGCATAAGGACGACTTCCACAGACACTTCATTTTCTCGGCAGGAAGCGAGGACACCTCCACGTCCAACTGGTCACAAACTGAAAAGTTCTCCAGGTCGACTTGTTGTCAGTCTCAAGCTGAGGCAGAAGGAGTTGTCGGTCAATGGGAAGCGAGCATCACCACAAGGCAGGAAGGCAATACCAGCCAAGCGAAAGCTTCCAATGCGAACCTCTCCAAGGTGCCGGAAGGCTTTATCTGTACATGAAGGAGAAAAAACATTGTTTGACGGTGCACTGAAGTCACCTGCAGACCCAGCGCCGTTTGAATTTCGTAAACGGCGCAGCGCCTCCCTTATCGAGAGATTATCTGGGCTAGAAAGCGAACCGAACGGGGTGTCGTCAACACCTGAGATAGACAGGCTCGGTAGCCCGCTGCCCTTCGTAGGCAAAAAGCGAGGACACTTAGATATGGCCATCAGTACACCGGCAAGGACAAATGTAAGTAAGACACCTAAGAGACCGAGATCAAGTCCGAGTTCAAGCCAAACGGCGAGTAGGATATCTAAGGATGTGACAGAAGCTCCATCGCTCGAAAGTCCTGTAGACTCTGGCAGTGGCCACAGCTCTTTTCTACCGCAGGTCCGACTACAACAACCTTCGCAACCACATGAGAAGATTCCGGGGCCTGTCAGTGTTTTTGCTTTACCCGCCCGGCCTCTTCCCGCATTTCAAAAGAGGCGAATTTCGTCAATATCGAGGCACACGGAGAAGGCGGAAGGCGAGCCTTGCCAGATGGGAATAGCAAAGACGGATTCGAAGATGAATGGCATATGCAGTTCATCACATAACCAGAGTGCCGTGCGTGAGATCCAGCTACGCAGTGTACAGCTTCGCAGTCCGCAAGGTGAACACATACAGATTCATTACGCTCGAGATGAACATGGAGAGTATCCTATCCTTGAACGAGCTCGATGGGATGGAGGGGCCGCTGATGATTACTTGGACATCCCGAAAAGAGGGGACCAGAATCGTAGCAGCGCTTCCCCGAGGTTATCAAAGCAAGAGAGGAACAAGGAGAAGGCCACTTGATACACAACCACTAGTCAGAATATCCATGCTCCGGTGAAAAGACTACTCTTTCACAAAATCATCAGGCATGCTTTCATCAGGCACTGAAGAGTGGGTCAAAGGAGTTTCGTTATTTTGAAGGTCGCTGTTTTCGAGGTCAAAGTGAACCCCAATCCGGCGCAATCAGATCCAACGCGAGTGAGCATTGGTTCTACGCGAAGGCGAGAGACGGCGTTGTAGTTAACGTGGTTAGGCGCAATTGATACCATCGATTGTGTGGACCACAAGGTCGAAAGGGTATTCATCTCTCGAGACCAGGGTCGTCGTCAAGACGGGTGCGCTACTGCACGCTTGGCTGAGTGCTTGACGGCTGGGCTCCGAAATTTTGACGCGACAGTGCAGAGCTCCGTAAAGGCAGACACAAATCGTGGACTGCTCGATGGTCGGATAAGGGGAAATCCCTCACGTGACTAAAGCTTTGTTTATTTCTTGGGATCAAGGTGGAAGCGACTGCTACAGTAGTGGTGCTGCAGCTGGAAGTACTTTTTGGTACGTTGACATGGTGTACTACTTGTACAGTGTCTAGTAGATCCAGTGGATACTGTACAAGTATAACACCACGTTAGAACTACGTTAGACACTAATTACTATTAACACTACGTACAGCACGTAGTGGATCACATCTGCCGATCCAGTGATGTCGAAATGAATTCAGAACGCCTCCGAAAGCGTGGAGTAGGCTCGCAGTCTGCTTAAGATGTTTTTGGCCACTTGAATCCAGGACGCCTGTAATCAAGGCGAAGACGTAAGGCAAAGTGTAGTAGATGGCTTAGGAAGCTCAAAGACTGATAAAATCGCAAACACTGCCTCCCGCACCAGCGAGCTTAATTGCAGTACCGTTCTCACTGGTCTAATTCTGGAAAAGGGTCAATTCTGGACAATATATTTTTGAGTACCCCGCCTTCGAACCTCTTTATCTCTCTTACACACCCCTCCCCCATCCTTCAATGCCTACCGCCCCTCTCCCAACTCCCTCATGCTTCCGTAGACAACGCTCCTGATCGCTGGTGCGAACATGCCGAGCTCCATGCGCGCTCAAACTATCGCACATAACAAAAGGATTGCTAAAAGAAAAGATGAGCGTATCAGACGGGAAAAAGCATTACAGCTCCTGCAGCGCGGCATCTCTACAAGGGACGTGTCCACCCGAAGTGGTGTCACTCGTACGACAGTGTATAATATTCGAAAGGCTATCATAGATGGGGACACGCAACAGCTCGCAAAACTGCTCGATCTCGAAAAACACTTTGCAGGCCGTCGCACAGTTCTCACAAGTTCTGAGCAGAGTCTTGTCGTTCACAAGACTCTCGAAGCAGCTGAGAAAGGTTTTGTCGTTGACTGTTCTCTAATGAAGAGCATTCAGGGCAAGATAGCGGCAGGATGAGAAAATGCATTCTCCAACCGCGTCCCATCCTCCGACGCCATACGCTCATTCAGAGCACGACATAGAGAATTGGCCTATAGGGCATCCCAGAACGTTTCCATGGAAAGGCTAGCGGCAGAGAATCCAACACATATGGGCAGTCTGAAGGAAGTTATTTTGAAACTTCAGAAAGAGTTCTCAGAGGTCCTCAGAAACCCTCATAAAATATGGAACTGGGATGACACCGCTGTGTGCGGTGAGTACGGTCGTAAAGTCAAGTGCTTCACCTCGTCCAGCAGAAAGCAGGGCTGTGCTTGCTTGGGCATTAGGGATCCCGGTAAGCACTTCACAGCAGGACTTGCTGTCGCAGCATGTGGCAACATAGCGCCCCTTTTTTGATAGCCTCTGGTAAGAAAGTCATGAAATCATGGCGTAAGCCTCTCGACAGGGAGGACTTCACTAATACGAATGGTGTAGTACACTGGTTGTGCAACGAAAAATGGTTTCCTCATGACGCAGAGCTTGATGTTACACCACACGGTTCAATCGACAAAGCCGTAATTGTCAAAGTTATTCATAATATCAATCGACATGCGCGAAAAACAGTACCACTCCACGAGCATATCCTTCTCCTATTAGACGTAAACAGTTCTAGACAGGGCGATGTATGGCTCGAAGAATGCGAGAAGCTTCGAATTTTGGTGGTCAAGTTGCCTGCAAATACAACCCATCTGTTGCAGCCGTGCGATCAGTCTGTGAAAAGAATTTTTCAAAGAACGGTTCGGTATACACGGGATGAGCTCCTGATGATCAGCCACATGACGTGTGCAAGCTCTGCTTTTAAGATAAAGCTCGCTGTGTCGGGTTATCGCGCGTTGACTCCAGAGATTGCCAGGAAGGCATTTTATGAGTCTGGATTATGGTCAATGGATTTTAGGTTTCTTGACCGAATTGCGCCTAGTCAGGCCAGTGATAACCTCAAAGGACCTTTGTGCGGTAGTGTGAACACACGAAGTAGTCGGGCAGTTCGTGATTCTCATTTGGGAGAGGTTAGAAATGAATCGCGCGCCTTGCTAGACAGAATTCGACAATTATCAAACGGCCCTAGCTCGGCCAGTAATACACTAGCAGAGATACAGGTACTGCTGAATGATGAGTTCAAAGTCAAAAGTTTGCTTGATACGCAGGTCTCTCCACCCAAGCTTGCAGAGACTTCACAACGTGGTCGTAAAGTCAATGCACCCATGGCCGGAGCACAGTGTCTTCAAGCAAGGTCAGAATAAGGGACCCCAAAGCAAAGACTTGAGAGTGTATTCAATTCTGAAGACGCCATTGAACAGAGCACTCCGATACCTATCACAGGGACCACATTTGAAGGGAACAAAGAAAACTGTTGTCCAGGTGAGGACGGTGTTTTCGCGCGAAGGCTGACTGACTTAAAAGGAGACGTTCTGGATGATATTCCAATTGCGTCATGGCGCCAAGTCCGAAGAAGTGGCAATATCGGCGGGCAAGGGTGTGTTGAAGACGAGAGAACGGAAGTGGCAGCCTCAGGCCTCGTCGGGTTGTCTCACTATCGATAAGAGTGCTCAACTCCCTGTCCAGAATTGACCCCTTTTCCCATTTTCCGTCTGTTGACGAGCTCAGGAATGGCAAAAAAGCCTTGGTCTGATTGGTAAAAACGTTGATTTTTGCATTTCTGGAAAGTGTCCAGAATTAAACCAGTGAGAACGGTACTGTACAGTTAAAAAAAGGTAACTGTACAGTACGAAGATCCATCGAATGTGCAGTAGTACGATCAAGTATATTGGAGATGGGGCGCTCATTCGATGCGGGCATTTTCGGTGCTCGCCTCCCCCCACTCAAGATAGACCTGCATGCGACCGCGCGGTATCTTGCGTCATTTGAATTCTAAAGCGTTCCTTTTTTTGATTTTCACAGGACTGTATGTAGAAGGCGTTTTAGACCAAACCCATACCTATTTTGTTGTAAATGTCAGGGTGAGCTGGAACCTACGCAATGTAAGTCAGGTCTCCAGGAGTGCGAGCATTTTTCCAATAGTAATCAAATACGAGAGGAAGCGGCCGGCTTCTTCCTGTGAATTGAAGCCAGTAAGTCACTATGCGGGATGTACATAGGCATACGTTACCACTAGGTTTGTTGACGAAAGTTGGTGCTCGCCGTGAGCGTACTGTGCATAGTACGGATGTTTGCTAGAGTCGAGAGTCGGTCGAATGTGACTCTCATCATGAAAAATGTTCATGCTCATGTTCAGCGACTAAAGTTCAACTGCATGATACGGGCTGGCTAACGCAATTCGATACGGTATTCGCCAAAAGATGGATGGGGTCGTGTAGTGCAAGGATGCTGAAAGACGGGCCGCAGATAAGTTTTTACAGTAGAATCTCAGAAGAAGGAAGATAGTTACGTGTCCAGGCCTGGGGGCTTCGAAGGTAGACCTTGAACTGGGTTCAATGCAAGTCTGGTATATCTACTAACGCTATAACGGCATCGACAAGAGGGTTCGGGAGAGACGAGTATTGGGCCTGCTCTCGAGCGCCTGCATTTTACAATAGGCATTTATGGCGAAGGCAAGCAAGGGGTGTGGTCAACCGATAGAAGAGCGGCAGCTGCACAGAGAGCAGTGCATGCTGAGATGCAGTACAAGGGGGATGAGAATGTGCTGGAAAGTACGCGTGTACGACGAACGGAAGGACGGGAGGGTTGTGGGGAGGGTTGTGGTAAGGATGGGGGCGGTGCTGGGGGTGACAAGTGATGGGTGGATGGGTGGGAGTGATGTCTACGTATAAGCGCGTGCGGGAGAGGAGAGGCAAGCCGGGGTGTGAGAAGTTGTCACATGGTGCCGTTCCTTTACCCCTCCTCGCTGAGAACTGGCAACTTCGTCACTTGTCAAGCGAGGTGAGAGACGAGATGGGACATGAGGGAGCGGCAGAAGCGACCGTTCCGACGAAGGCGAGATTCGGGAATGACAATGGGCGCCGCCCGTTCGGCAGAGACTCGTTACAGCCGCGAAAAATATCACCAAAATACAATTACCCCCTCCAGAAACACCCTATGCCGGCCGTACAGCAGCGCACCGCCATCCGGACGGTTATCACACTGCCCGTTGCGCCCAAGCTCCCTTCCGTTACATCCCCTCCCCTCCCGCTTCCCCCACTCCCCCCTCCCCCGAGGCCCCCCTCTTCCGACTCATCCCCCATGCTTCCCCATCCGTGCCCCTCCGACCTATTTAGTCCATCCCCAACCGCTCACACCACCTTCCTCTGCCGCAATGTCACAAACTTCTCCCTTCTCCCTACTCCCCGCTCCTCCCCAACACCTTCCCCTCTCCGGACCCTCTCCCACCCCTCTCCCCTCCCCGCTTCAGCTCTAGCTCATCCTCCTTCCGCACCATGGCCGACTATTTCCCCTCCTACGCTTCCTCGGGCAAGGAAAACGTCACCCCCAATGTCTGCACCATGGCTGACTATTTCCCCTCCTACGCTTCCTCGGGCAAGGAAAACGTCACCCCCAATGTCTCCCGCCCGCCACACTCCACTTTGCATCCGCGCCCGAGCTCGCTCCTCGCCGCCGCCAAGTCCGCCCGCCAACGCAAGTCCTCCAACCCCTATCCCATGGGCGGTGGTCCCATGCACGCTCAAGCCCCGCGCTCATGGACGCTTGACGACTTCGAGATCGGCAAGCCTCTTGGGAAGGGCCAGTTCGGCTCCGTCTATCTCGCCCGCGAGAAGAAGACAAAGTACATCGTCGGCTTGAAAGTCCTCTTCAAGTCTCAGCTTGTCAAAAACAGGGTCGAGCACCAGCTCCGTCGGGAGATCGAAATCCAATCCCATCTTAGGCACCCCAACATCTTGCGCTTGTTCGGCTACTTTTACGACGACACCCGCATCTTTCTCATCCTCGAGTACGCCGCGAGAGGCGAGCTCTACAAGCAACTCTGCGGCCACCAATTTGACGAGCCCCGCGCTGCCACCTACGTCGCCTCCCTCGCTCACTCCCTTAACTATTGCCACTCAAAGCACGTCATCCACAGAGACCTCAAGCCCGAGAACATTCTCATCGGCCTCAACGGCGACCTCAAGATCGCCGATTTCGGCTGGTCCGTCCACGCCCCGCGCAACCGTCGCACCACTCTATGCGGTACCCTTGACTACCTCCCCCCAGAGATGGTCGAAGGCAAGTCTCATGACCACACCGTCGACGTGTGGGCCCTCGGAATTTTGGCCTATGAGTTCCTCATCGGCACGCCGCCCTTCGAGACAGATTCGCGCCAAGCTACTTTCCGCAAAATTTCCTCCGTTGACCTCTGTATACCTAGTACCATTAGTAGAAACGCAGCCGACCTCATTGGCCGCCTCCTGGTTAAAGACCCCGCGGAGCGCCTCGCGCTGAAAGATGTCCTCAGACATCCTTGGATTCTGGAGCACGCATCGGACACCCTGGCCAGTTTGGAACGACGAAAGTCATAGGAGAGAGTGACGAAACGAAGAAGACATGCCTCGCAAATGCAACATGAACATAACAATCCCCGGATACGCACCACGCAACGCGTCTGTAGCTGCACAGCGAACTCCATTCCGAACACGCTCGCCGAAAACGCCAGATTTTCCTTTACTGGCCCGCACAACAGATAAATGTGAAGCATGCCTTGCCAACTGTTCTTATCGCCTTCTATCCATAGCCAAAGCAATCCCCTTTGCCATCATCCCGATAGCTCAAAAGAGCGACGGACGTCGTGAAACAGGACCGGGACCTCATGTGAAACAAACCTTTTCTCCTCGAAGAACGACGTCAAAGGCGACTTCGAAGAGAGCACAAGTCCAAATTCAGGACCCTGCTGGTGCGCAGCCTGAGGTTTCATCAATCATCAAATCATCATCTACGAAGACAATTCGTCTTCTGTTGCTCCCAATGAAGCCTGCCATTTCCATCTTCGCAGGATCAAATATGAGGTCGGTGCCAACAACATCTTTATATTCGCCGCGATAGCGTTTCTTCCCCACTATTAAAACAGGATTCTCTGACAGCAAATCCTGCAGCACGGATGAATGACAAGGAGAAGCACACCAAGTCGTCAGCCAGGGATTTGCTTGCGCAGCTAAAAAAAGAGACCTCGAACAAGAGCACGTACCTCAAATGAGTAACGCGTATCACCCGAAACAGGTTCACAGAAGAGGTGCTCGATAGAAGATGGCACCTGAATGACGATGTGCGCTTCTCGGGGATGCTGACTGGACGGCGTCGGCGAACCTGACCCTCCTTTTTGTAGTGCGGGTCCGACCATCTGGAGGATGGGACGGTAGAGCGGGCCCGCCTTTCTACTAGCGTTCTGGTAATCTACGTAGCGGCTGTGTCGCACCGACGATGATTTTGCCCACCTGCTTGCTAAGAGAAAGTCCTCTAGTATAGTTGCAGGGATCCCACTGGGCCGAGTAGGGAGCTTTCAAGGACGGGCTGAAAACGCAGACCACACTAAAAACTAAAAAATAATTGCCCGTGTCGCCTGTTTTTGAAAAAAAAACATATACTGTAGATGATTGGGCCGAAGGATGCACTGGGTTGCCTTCTCATCATCATGGGCCGTTCACTCGGGCTCTTGTTGCACATGTTACAACATGCAGCATTGGACAATACCATGCTTGGTGAGGAGTTGTTGACGTTCACCGTATCGGACTCACCGCGACAAAAGATCCGTGTCGCATCCACGTTCGGCCTGTGACTGTGACCGTTGACCGTAGTTTGCAGACCTGCATCGTAGTTGCTCATCAGGTTCTTCGGAATTCGAAGTGTTCATCACCTCAACAGGACGAGAGTTCTAGGGTCAGAGTAACCATCGTTTCGCGTTCTCGCGTTTAGCAAGGAAGTGGGATGGTCAGCACGCTTAGCGGGCTCCTGGTCACCTGTGATATTCCTGTCAAAGAGTTTCTGCTCTGGCTCGATTCCCAGCAAGCAGACAAATTCATCATCAGTGACCTAGACGAGACCCATTTGTTCGTCCGAGAACGCTCCCTGCCTTTCTTGCAAGCCGAACTCAACAAACTCTACGAGGAGAACCAATACTCGTTCATTCAGTGACGTGCTGCCCTTACAATGCGCATATATACGTTTTGCTGTCATGCCCTATACGCTGAGCATCTTAAGCAAGACTTGGTGATTTCTGAGCAATCTATCACTGCAAGTAGAAGCAGCTGGCTACAAGCTACGACACGACATCACAAATTTCCGCTGCGCTGCAACCACACAAGCATTGGCAATGGCTAATGAGAGATCATCTACCAGTTCCCTGTGAAAACAATCGCGAGAACACCGCCTTGTAGGTCGACTACGGTACCCCTACTGTACCACCGGCCATGTCCTTTCGCCTCCTCCAAAGGAGGCGGTAAAGCTTCAAGTTCTAATTTGAAAATGTTCAGTGAAAATGTCAATTGAACGCTCATGTGTGAGCAGACAGTCTCCCCCAATTCACGCTCAACGAGAGCCGGCCTCCCCTATATAACGCGTGCTTTTCTTCGACAAGGCTCAATATCTCTTTCAACCGCCCGCCCTTTTCCGGAAGTTTAAGAAATTCCCATCTCAAATCCAAAATGGAGGGCTCTTGACGGATGCGTAAGATATCCAGCTGGCAGCAGAGTTGTTGAGTAAAAGTGCCGGCATCGCTCTCTTTGCTGCTTGGATGAAAACTTTACCAGCTGTACTCTGGTTAAGCACATGTGTCCAGTAAAAAGCGCTAGAGGCCTGATATGCTTCATGCCTCATGAACGCCAGCACTCCTCCCCAAATAACAACAGGAATGAGAAAGCTTGCTGTGGGTAATTGGGTTCTTTTTCTTCTCATCAATGCGTTTTGCATCTCCCAATCCGTCGGACTTCCTCTTCCCACGAAAGCCTCTTCGCGCGGCACGCAACCAAGAAACCGAAGAGTTCACCGCCCAAATCTCTCCACTCATAAGATAAAGGGCGTGTGGCGGGTAACAAGATACGCGACCATTCTCGGACCTACTATTGCGATTTTTCTATACGGCCGACTGTACAAACTATATGAAAAATATGGCCCCATTGTTACCGCAGAGTTAAAAGAAGGACTGAAGCACATCGTAAGAAACCGCGATTTCTCTGCTCCTCGCAAATCATTGTCACTGCGAACAAGTCAAAGAGAAACCAGCCCTTACTCTCTGCAAGTTGCAAATGAAATCATCCGAATGATGAACAGGCGGTTGCGGGAGGATGCAGTTATCTCTCGCATTCAAATGGACGATGACCAGTATGAATTTAGTCGAATCCCGAGTGACAGAGAAATGAAGAAAATGGCTGAAGAGGTTATGGGAGAAGTGATGGACAACGGAGCAGGCAAGTTTCTTGCTCCAGCTGACAAGAACGTGGTGAGGAGAATGGTTCTTCGATCGATTCACTAAAAAACAGCACACAGGTCGATCGGGTGCTTGTTTTTCTTCTGAGCGATCAGAAAAACTTGAGGAACGGATTTTGTCATGTACAAAACGACATCCTGAAAGACGCTGTAGATTCGAGTCTGATCGACATTGCGCGTGGAAAGGCGGAAGCAGTATATGCTTCCATAATAGCATATTACTACGGTATGCTAGGTTGTTTAGTGTAAGTGTTGAAATAAACTGTGGCACGCATAGGTTTCGGGGTGGAGGTTTGTTCTCGCCTTTCTCTGGGAACAAGCTTCCCCTGTCATAGCCATGCCGTCGCGGCTGCCAGAACATTGACTTGTTCATGAAGTTGGGGATATAGGCACACTCGCCGGACTCTGACCCCAAACACTGTAAAGATTATAAGCGAAGAACATCACCGTTGCCCTTAACCGCGATCCTATTGCTGGTACTTGCACTGCCAGCAGCACCAGTTAATTAGTACTGCTAGCACTGAAATTCTAGACGAAGTTGGCGGAGCTCGCAGACTGCGGCAAACGAAAGGCTCCGCTTGAGCAGCAACAATCAGCCCATTAGCGTTGTGGGGGAGGGGAAGGGGAGTGCGCGTCGGCAGAACTGTTACGGTTATTACTCTGATGAAACAATCTAGCGGACATCTTCCTGCTATGGGTTGCGTCTGGACAAGCGACGCAGAGACATCTGTAGGATACGACGGCATGGGCGAAGCAAAAAATGCTGCCATCGGTCGAAGAGAGGTTCTAAACTTGGAATAGACAAGTACAGTAGTGGAGTGGTGGGGATAGTTGGCTTCAATGGAAAAGTCTTCATGACATGAAAACATGTTGTGGGTTTCGATACGATATTTTGAGGAAACAAAAAAGTTATGGTAGCCACATGCGAGGGTTCCAGGAGACCTTGAACTCGCGACCTTAGGATTGCTTACTGCGTCATTATGAGACCTACGCTCTGCCGACTGAGCTAATGTGACTGTCCGCTGTGACTGACTGTGGCGATGATGCAAAGTTCTCAGAATATAAAGGTTACTATGTAATTCTATCCAATGATTGCAGTGCACGTGTCCAAAAAAAGGACCCCCCCCCCCCCCCCCCCCCAGCACGTGTCCTTGAAGCCTGCCCTATGATATGGCATCGGCCCCCCCTGATTGGTGAAAATAAAACACACGCAGGTGGCATTGAATAAAATTACCAACGCAGGGGGCTTGGGCCCCCCCCCCCCTTGGAAATAAAAGCGCACATGTCCCGGCCAAGTGAGTCCTTGACGCCTGCACGTGATATCGCATCGGCCCCCCCCTCATTGTTAGAGAAATAATTGCATTCATCACATGTCCACACACAAAGTCTTCAGTTTTTATTAGCACATGGCCATCTTGAATTCGAATGAGAATAGAAGCATTTCTAAGCGATCAGCTCGAGCTACCAGCAAAATTTCCTTGACACTATCACCCTCACTTTAGACCCCATGTAAACCTTGGCTAACTAGGAACTGGAAGCGGACATCGCCCTCTCCTCCTCCACTATCGCTTCAAAGTCCTCGGGGTTGCTCACTAAGAGGCAGATCTGAAACATCTCGTCGAAGTAGTCCGTCAGTTGGTCTATGTCGTAGGCTTGGTCCTTCCACACATTGCCGTTCTGCTTGATGAGCTTAATCTTGTCGTTCATCGACCGGTTGTATATCGCCTCGTCGAACTTTACGGCCGAGCCCGAATTCAAAGTGGAGCCGTCGAGGACCTTGTTCCAGAAGAGGCGGTTCTTAGCCTTGTGGAACATCCTGGCCGAGCCCCCCAGGTTCAAGGAAGCTAACCAGGGGTAGTTCAGGAACTCCTCCATGTCAATTATGGTGTTCTTCCTCGCGAGCCCGAAGACCAGAGTCGTCACCTCGGGGAAGGAGTCAGGGATCTTCAGGGTGCAGATGTTCTTTCTGGTGTGGTCGGAGGTCCTGTCCACCGCCGAAGTTGTCGCCCACTTCGTGATGTTCCTATAGGTGGCCCTGGAGGTCTCGGAGACGCTGGAGAGCTTATTTACGGCCAACAGCAACCTCTTCCTCGTCTTGAACTTGCTCAACATGGTGAAGAGGAGAAAGACGTCTTTTTTGGTGAACCTGTTCTCCTTGAAATTCTCAATGATGTCGGACCTGTAGGTGTGGATGTTCTTCAGGCCCGCCGACAGGATCGTGTTGATGTCCTCAGGGATGGGCTAGGAGTGGAGGCCGGACAACAGGTCCTTGAACTGGCTGGTGAAGTCGCTGTTCATGGTTTTGTTGGTCTTGTTCGAGCAGGTTTAGATCTGAAACAGGATTTAGAGCTAGGGGTGGATCTTCAAAGATTTACTGAAACGTTATATATAGGGCGCTTGGAGCGCCCGAACCACCGCTGTCCTCGAAGACGTTGCGCAAAAAATTGCCATCCGATCGGGTTAGATCTTTGGCATCGCCAAGACCCGCCTCTCCCAGCGTCTGAGCTTCGCAATGTGATCCAGGGTCGCCGTGGCGACCATTGCCCGCATTCCGTGTAATGGGTCGGCTCCCTCGTGTCCTCCACAAGTGTGAATCCTTGACGTCCGCCCGCATGATACTGTATCGGCCCACCCTTGCATTTAAATAAAGTTCCACACATTTCGCACGTGTCTCTTTCCAAGTGCGAGTCCTTGACGCCTGCCTCGTGCTGCAGCATCGGCCCCCGTACAATGTTAGAAAAATAAAAGCACACACGTGTCCCGAGCAGATGGTGTACTCGTCGAGGCGCAATTCATGTCCATTGTTCTTACGCATAGCCGCTTGGGTGCTGAGTCGGTTCACCATCTCTGAACGAATTTATTGCCTCGGTAGGGTTTCGGTTTCCTACCTTTTTTCCTGTTGCTTGAAAAAACTGCACCAACAATTCTCATGGATTCCATTTTATGTTCTTATCACTCCACCCAACCTGAGCTTACGAACTGTAGTAGCGAATTTGGTAGCCGGGTGTTCGATAGCTCCTGCGCGCGGGTGGTGGGGGTCCATTTCAAAACTTGCCTTTTGGGAGTATGCCAGTTTCGTCCATGACATGTGACAGAAACCAACTTAACATTCAGATGGATTTGAACACGAGGGCAGATGATGGAAATGGTACGCGTTGAAAGGTATATAGTGCACGCGACTGTAGCAGCACACATTCGGCTAAACTGAAGACCTATCAGGTTATGAAGAGCGTGCAAGAGCCGCTGATGGCCTTTTGCGATAGCTCAGGGAGCACCCCACCGAGAAAACACAACTGGTTTATATATTTCGCCCCTCTCCTAGTTTGTCTCGATGACAATATTGTATCTGAGGTTTATTGTGCCTACTACACAAGGTCTCCGATCTGCTGATTCACTTCCATTTACCATCTAGAGACTAGAGAGATGGCACTTGACCTTGTAGTATATGAGGTCACTTCACAACTTCTGTTTGGTCGACAAGGATGGTGAAGGTACCCCCGCCACAGCAACTCAGTTCTGTGTTGCGACACAATATATCTCAATGGAAAGTGCCCGCCTTTCGGCGGCAAGTTTAGGAATGTCGACCGAGGCACCGCTTGTGAGTATGCTTAAACGACGTTTCTGTGATATCTTCGAAGAGAAACAAGCAGTTAAAAAAACTTAACTTATAGCTTCGTTCATTCCATTCTCTCTTTCAATCCTTTCAAAGCTTCTAATTCATGTTCTGCAAGGTGGGGGTGCCGAGAACAACTGTATGATAGAAATGGAGCCTATTTGGCATTCCATATTAGCGAATTTGTTCACGTATTCTTGCAACTTATCACTTACCACTTACACGCTGGCCAGATTCGATTGCCCGCTCCAGTCTCTTCGCAAAATATTGTGCTCTGTCTTGCTTTCCCGCTTCCCTCCCGCCATGCTTGCACCATTGGCCCCTTGCGTCTCCTCCGCATTCAGAGCCTCATTCGGAGACAGTAGCCGAGGGCTGCTTGGACCTTTGTTTGATGGACGCGCCTCCAAATCATGAACCTTTGTCAATGGTAGAGTTCGCTCAAACTCGGGACAGCCCGCAATATCTCCAGCTCGAACTGAGATATCATAAAATACACACAATATTCCCTTGGTAGTGCTACCGTTTAATAAAAATACAATACCCTTGCTAGCAAGGGTATTGTATTTTTATTAAACGGTACTTATGCAAAATCTCAAGCTCTTACAGCTTCACGACTGCAGCACAGAACATTGAGGTACTGTTGCTGCTACCCCAAGCCGCCCACCTCCACTGAGCGAGAGTTCTGTGGAAAATGACGGTGATCCGCAAGGTTACTGCAAGTGCTGTTCTTGTTCCCTCAATTCCTTCCCTCTAGTCCCGCACCGCCTAGTTTTCACTACTACTGCCTGCGATCCTCTGCACCAGTCTCTCTCCGCAACCGAAACCGAGACGTTCAGCACAATCCGACAGCGACTGCAACTGTTCCCGCGCTTTCCGCACCATCCCCTTGATCGCATACGACCAGATGTACGGCCTTATAGAGCCGTCAGAAAACGATGGCCCCAGGCTGCAGAAAGGCGTCACGCGGGGTAAAAGCACGGCACCCCTGCGCGGTACATGACTTGGATGCGCGTATGCCAGCATGCGGTGCCCCGCTGGTCGGCGGGTGTGCTCGCTATGCCTCTGTGCGAGCCCCGCTTGACGGATAGCCCCTCTCCCCCCCCCCCCCCCCCCCCCCCCCCCCCCGCCCTGTTGTCCCCCCCTTTTGTCCCCCCTCTGTCCCCGCCCCCGGGCCTAGGCCATGCGCGCATATGCGAATTTTAATGAAAAAGAGTTACGAAACGTGAAATTGAGCAAGTCCAATACCCTTTTTACGCCAACGAATCTAAACAGAAGGCAGGCGCGTCGCTGTCTCAATTTTCGCCTTTCAGCACAAAGGAAGATTCAGCGATAACCCGACTTCAATCTTTTCAGAACCATTGTTTACTTCTTATGGAGAATTACAACCTGTCAAACCGAACGGCTATTTTACAGCCTGCTGCTGATGACAAAGCATGCCTTTGCTAAGCTCAATGCCCCGTTCGTGCACTAGTTCCACTTGACCTGATTGTACGGAACGGTGTTCAAAAACCGGAAATGCTTCTTGATCCCTGAACGGAATAAGCAATGCAGACGTAGATTGTCGAATAGAGCTTCCCCGACGTCATGTTCGTCTACCCAAGGCCATGAAGGAAAGAAATAGTGACACATTATCGCAAGCGCCATGAAGGCCACGAGGACTGCGAGGAACACACGGAAATCGCCTGGCAAGGTCAAGATCAATACGAGAAAGATTACCAGCGGTGTTACCCACCGCAAAAATATACGGCCAACATACTCTC